GAGCGGTTCCGTTGACGGTAGGGTGAGGTGGTTCCCTCACAGCACAGTGAATGCATTGATCTGTGCCGGGACCCAGCGGTCACTGCACGTGGTGTCCCACCGTAACCGTGTTTGGGGGAGAGACACCTCCTTGTCCATGGACCTGTCCAAAGAGCGCTTCAGATCCTGGAAGATTGTCAGTTTTGGGGCCGTTACCTTACTCCTTTTCTCTCTGTGATCAACCTTCATTTGCTTTGTCCTTTTCTACTGCTTTCTTAACTAAAAATGTTAATCAGAATGCTTTTAGTTTATTTAGGTGTTCCAAGGTGTATTTAAGCAACCACTGCAACTTTGATTTGTAAGTTGCTTTATTTTTCCTCCTTTTTGCTATGCGGCACTTACTCAGACTCCATAGAGGGGGAACAGGGACTTTTGTATTTCAAAATCAGTTCAGCAGATTTTGAAAAGCTATCTTTGAATATTCCATAATACACACACAGATTTGGAGAGCTTATTAAAGAAAGCCCCTGACACACTTCAGCAATATTAAATCACTTCAGACAGTGCATGGCAGCGTAATGTTACTGAAGCATTTTAAAATGTTAAAAGAGCCTGGATTTGAAAGTACTAGTGGCTTTACAGCCCTTACTCTGAAAAGTGATTTAAACCATCAAAATTATTTCAATGTTTGCAGTGTATTACTTTCTTAAATGACAAAGAAGGGACATTAGTAAATAACTATAACTGTAGTTAATCTCTGGCCAGCTAACCAACTGATACGCTGGGTTAATTTCTGTATTAAATGCTTATTTAATAACTGGGCAGCTGTTCAGACAGGCCAGATGGACTTCAGTGTAATTGTGCTAATAATGAGAACTTTTCGACAAAACGAAAGGACAATAAGAAGATGCATTTAGTGAGGGAACATCACGACAAATGGCTTTAGGGCAGTGTGGTCCTTTGCCCTCAACAGACTGGCTGAAGTAGGTGGCTCATCCTTCAATGCAAGAAGGACCAGCAGTAAGAATTGGAGTAAGGGTTTATTCTTTGCTTGGTTGTTTATTCTTTATGTATTCTTTGCCTCCGCAGCCCATACATCCCCAGTCCTACTTGCAGCCTTAAAGCCTGCCTCCCTCATACTGCTTCAGCACATTTCTGCAGTTACTGCTGTGGATTCACGGCCGGTGCATTTGTGTATCTCCCCAATAAATATATGTTACGTAAAGCTGTAACTTGCTCCCTAAATGTTATCTTTTTGACCCTATCCCATTTGTATTTTGTAGATTTAGTTAACTGTATTTTCAGAGTTCTTCGCAAGAAAAATTACTAGATGAGTGTTAACAATTACAGCTTTGATTACATGGAGGCAGATTCTTTTATACTGGAAACATTATCATAAGCAAGAGGAGTGGCAAAGTATGATGTTCTCAGTATGAGTAATTAATACATTTTTCATTTGTCTTTGCTCAAGTAGGAGAACGAAAGCATTGAAAGAGCATTGAAGGAGCATTTGAGGAGTAAAAATCTGAACTTACTATCTGGCAATATGTTTTTACCTTGGAATTGTTGCATTTAAGAATTGAGTCCCTGCAGAATTTTTTGCTTTTGGTGACATTTCCAGCTATTTCCCGGATTGTAGTCTTTGTCCTGCTGCTGGTCCAGAAGTACAGGTCTTCTGTACACCTTGTGTGGTGTCTCTAGCCTGTGAAGGCATCTCAGATGTGCCAAAACATCTCAAACAGGACTAGATGATTGTGTTTAAGCATCTAAAATTGTGGTCAATTGACTCTGTAGATGGAGAACTTCATAGGTTCCTTCCTCAGTAAGCTTGCAATGGCTTTTTTTTTTTATGTTTTAAACTCAGAAAATGACTGTTACTTTTTGTTTCCTTCTTTAACAGTGCTCAAAAGGAGTCAATGAGATGAACTGTTTGGGTTATAGTATCTGAAAGGCTAAATTATTCTCTTGAAGAGACGTTCTAAATGAGCCTGACCGAGATCCTGGATCTGTGTGAAGAGGACTAAGGATATAGGATGTCAACTGAGACAGAACTTCAAGTGGCTGTTAAAACCAGCACAAAGAAAGACTCCAAAAAGAAAGGTAGTGACTAATTTCTCTTTATTCGTATGTATTTTGTAATTTAATAAGCTCCTACATCCACCACCTTTTATGTATCTGTGATTCTTCTGTTATCTGTGCACTCTGTGAGAGTAAGATTTGTTAAGCCCAGTGGGAGTCTGGTATGGGAACGTAGGATTTGATTCTCTGACATTAAAAATATATCGAAATATATTTAAAATGTAAGAAAAAACTTATGTATTATAGTTTATTAATTTTTACTCTATGTATATATATTGCAGTTGTTTCACAAATGGAAATACAATTTTAAAAATTACTCTTAGCAAAAGATAACTTTTTTTACTCTGTTGATAATAAATTTTCTCCTAAAGGCTTTGTTTCTGCTTTGCTTTGAACTAACCAGAGCTTAAATGCACTTTTTGTTACCGGAGGGTGAATCTTACTGACACTTTGTGAAGTTACAGAGAACTCAGTAGCAATCTATAGAGAGATTAATTGTAATCTGGTAAAGGAAATATAAACAAGGAGAAGGAAAACTCAAAATTAAGGAGAAGCTGTGAATAAGTGCATGGTTAGATAAGTTCATATTTTTATTTACAATTTTGCATCAGATTGCAGGGCAGTTCTTTGGACAGATAAGCATGAGAAATGGGACTATATGAATTGGTGCTTATGAACAGGAGTACTGAAAGATTTTTAGTAGGGATTTTTATCCTTAGATTTTTATTAGTATTTTTATTGCTTATGTTTTTAAGTACTGATGAACTTGGAAGCCAAGACCTTGAATTCTAGTGGTAATTCATGTTGTTCTGTGTAGCCATCTTTGATATTTTTTTTTTAAACTTATACAGATAATGAAATTGAGATTGAAAATAAATTTAAAATGAATTGCTCACATAAAGTAAAACAAAAGTAAAAAATCATACTTAATAGTTTTAATACTTGAGGCAGCAAGATTTGAACTCTCATGAGCTTTTCAGTTTGTCAGTCTGTTTCTTTTTGTGGGTGTATAGCCATTTACTTCTGAGGATTTTTTTTTTTTTTTTTAAGACAAAAAAAAATCATCTCATCTTGGCTCATATATGTGTGTGTTGCAAATTTTGCTCATGTTAGATGTCTGAAAATAACTTGTTCAACTTTTTGGCAGCTGTACGTTTTACTGTGGCGATTCTACCAAACCGGTATTTAAGGCCTTGTGTTTGCTATAACTTTTGTATCAGAAATCTTTATATTAGTGTTTCTAAAGAGACACAGCAATTAAAAATTTTAAGCGTTTGTTTGGGAAGATGGTTTAGAATCCTTATGACTACTCTAGGCCTAAACTCACAAGGAAAAAAAGATTCGTTTAAGATTAAAAAAGCTGTAGTTTAGAAGGGCAAAAATAGGGGAACTTTGATGTAAATGAGAATGTGATCTGAGAGGGATGTTCAAGGCAAGTGGAGAAAGTGAAGATGGTTTGGTTGTATGATCATTCAGTATTTTTGGGCAGGCAGGAAATTAAAAAATGACAGTTCTTTGCAGTATGGATAACATCTTTTTGATGTGTGTCTCCTATGTTACTTCTGCTGGAGGGTGAAACTTTTTGAAAACAGCAAACAACTGTTTTAGCAACTTGATGTTTATGTTAATAAAATATTCAGCATCCAACTTCTAAAAACATTTTCATAAATCATAATACCTGAATGCTTCTCTGCACAAAATCTGATTCTATTCCCCAAATGGAAATTCTGAGAATTACCTTTACTGCTGAGAAGTATAAAATATGTTCTCTGGCAGCGATCAGAGCTCCCTGCAGCATGTACAACTATCTGAGGAACTGGAAGGGACAGTGTATGGCAGTAGTCCATCTCCAGAATTAATCTTGTTCTGTATTGTATGTGCAAGTTTGATCACATCCAGCCATCCGAAGGCCTCACGGTACAGTGAATGCTTTATACAGACAAGGTATACAATTCAGACAGTGTTTGCTATTCAAATCCCATGTAATGGAAGTCAAAAGAAACTTGGTGTGCTCATTTACTTGTCATTGAATTGTATGTATTTGTGTATATTTCTACAGATGAGCCCTCCCCTGTATAGTGTGAATGATGGACATGTGAAAAACAGGGAAATATTTTTTTTGTTCTTTTTTCCCCCAAGTTCATTAACTGCAAGCAGTGACAGGTAGCAAGTACTAATGTGAGGTTTCTAATGTTACTCATCAATGAGTTTGATTATGCAATGGAACTGAATATTCCCAAGAAAATAGTCTTTGCTTTATAAACAGAAATTTCAGCTCTAATGTATTTCCAGTGAATTGGGTACTTCTGCAAGAGCCATGCAACCGTTTCCATCCAGAGCAGGGAGGAGCCTCTTTTGCTGTATTATCTACTGTTCTGGTAGTTCTCCTACCATCTTCAGTTCACAGCACTATGCTGAGAAAGAGCAGTAAGTGTGATAATAACTTTTTAATGGAACACCTGTCCCACAGGTGCATCCCATGCTGAAGATCTGAGTGATTAAAGGGGATAAGGGTTAGTATGGAGTTAGTGCATGGGACATGGTTCTTTCCTGATCTCAGCATAAGTCTTCTGTGTAGTGTCAGCTAAATCTTTAAATCTCTCTCTATCTGTATAAGGATATAGTAAGGTAGTGTTTTGTACTTGAAGTGTTGAAATAATACAAAGCTTAACTCCTAAGATTTGTAAGGTATACGAATATAAAACATGATAAAATGTTGCATGATAAATGCAGGCTGCTGTTCTTATTGAAGTAGAAAGCTCAAAAGAAAATGGTGGTTATTCAGATGATGTGACTTGTACACTTGTGGTATAGTGCCTATCTTGAGTTAAAGGCACTGTAACATCATTCGTTAAACAATTTAATAACCTGGAGAGGTTAGGGGAAAGGTCCAGGAGGAGTCTCATGGTATTCAATGAAGGCGAATGCAAAGTTCTGCTACTGGGATGGACTAACTCCCTGCAGCAGGGTAGGATGTGTGTTTGAAGTTCTTTTACGGTTTCTTAAAATTGCTTTTAGACTCTACTGCATAGACTACCGATTTTTTGGTGACAGGGAAATAGTTTGATTTCTGCTGCAGATGGGGCACATGGCATTAATCTGTAACTCCTGCAAAGTTACAGATTTTACCAAATACTTCATTTATGTGTTGGGAATACTTACTTCTTTTTGTAGTCGTATGCAAAGCAAGTCTCTTACAAGAGATTATTTAAAATATTTCTCATTAGGCACAGTGTTTTTACAGCCATAAGCTTTCTAGTTATAGTCAACTCTTCAGTCTCTCTCCATTGTCATCAGAGCTGGTTTGTAAGACGGTATTCTGTTCTAAACACTGAAGGATTATTACTACAGTTAGGACAAGAATTTACATACGGAATCCACTCAGAAGCTGCTATTTAAGTAGAATCGCAGCTGTGTAACTCTAATGTGCAATAGGTAAGTTCAATATTAACATGATAATATCAAATTGTAATTTTCTATGTTAACATTATCACCCTGGATAATCTTAAAAATAGGCTATTAAAAATCAAGTACTAATTTTGCCTTTTATTCAGTCAATATTGATCTGATGGATCCAGAATTCAGTAGGCTCTAGAGATGCTACCTGGTCATACTCCCAGCACAAGGTGAGTTTTAACTGACTTGAAGACACAGTTATGAAAACGGAGGTGAGCCAAGCACGCACCTTCCTCTCCAAATTGTCGCTTTTTGCTCCATGTACTGTGAAGGTACTTACCGACTGAGGACCCTTGTTTCACCCTGACCTCCACAGCCCTCCTTTCTACACCTTACACCATCTTATGAGCTTACAGCACACTAGATGCTATTAGAGGAGATTATATTTCTGCCATCCCGCATCTCCAGCCCTAATCTTCATGCCACTCTTGGCTGATATCTACTGGTAACTGTGTTGTAATTACCTTTTTTGAGAACTTGCTCAAATTTTAAGAGACATTTTGAAGAGGTTTCATGTTGCTCTCTAAAAGGAAATAATGCAAAATTTTCAGGAGATTTAGAAAGCTCTGTTCTAGGACTTTTTTGGTGATTTTTTTTTTGTGTGTGTGTGTGTGACTTTGCCAAAAATCCATGTGTTCTTTAAGAAGCATTTAGAGAATTAATGATTCAAATAATGCACTTAGAGGCTGGGTTTGTTTGGTTTTTTTCATTTGTTTATGTCATCTGATTCATTGAGAGGTGAATAAACATTACGTGTGTTTACCACTCAGGATAGGAAATTAGAATTTTTTATTAGTCAGAGTTGTTAGAAACATAAACCACGTTTGTATTGTAGTACATGGGAGAAAAGCCATTTTATAAGTGTGTATGGATTATTGAATCAAATTGAAAACATTTACTTGAGCTATTGGAATTAAAATCAATTTAGAAACCTCTTTGGGGAAAATGTGTTGCATTGATGGTGAATCCACACTGATAACTGCCTTGGAAAATCCTTTCTTGCAAAATTAACTTAAACAGGAAAATTGAAATGGGGGGTCAGTAAAGAAGTGAGCCAGGCTACCAAATTTGAATGCAGATCTGCATCTGCCTGGGGGAGGCCAGGAGATTTTTCTAGGGATTTGGTTTCTTCCTCTTGCACTTAAATTCTGTGATTATTCTATTTGAAGCTTTGGATTTTTTTGCAAAATCATCTCTCATTATATCCCCTATATGGAGTCTGTAGTAAGACTTTTGAGTCAATTTTCAAAATTACAGGGACTTTGAAAAATGGAAACAAGATACAAAGAGGAGCTCAGGCATGTTGACAATCAGTATAACGATCTTTGATGCTAAGGATCCCCGTGGGTGATATTCCCTTATTAAACAGGTTTCCACTGCAATGCGTGGGAAGCACGTGGCATCTGGAAACAGATTTCACAGTAGGCAGGCCGCCAAGCCGGGGATTGCCATTACTAGGCAGTAGGAACATGAAATTTAGAGGGGATGTGATGTGCTATGTCTCTATCAGAGCTAGATGCCTTCTTACAGCCATGGGTTGGGCACTTTGTTTTGACTGAATGAAT